AGAGAGAGAGAGAGGGGACCTGGGAAAGAAGAGACCCCCTCAATGTGGGGTTGAAAGGACCAACTTTGAACCTGTCCCACCAGCCAGGGAGAAGAGGATGGTGGGCGACACGCCATACAAAGCTGCTTGAAGTTACCTCCACCCAAGACTGGATTTACTGCTAACACTTCTACATAAAATAATCACGGTTCTATGTGCTGTACTGTGTGTCCCCCACATTCAGAGGTTGAAGATATAAACTGACAGTACTTCGAAATGGGATTCTATTTGGTCATATCCCTTAGGTTAAAATGAAGCTGTCAAGGGGAGCCCATCCAGTCTGACCAGGGTCCTTACAGGGAGAGATTAGAAGGCAGGGAGAGACACCCAGGAGGCCACAGCAGAAGCTGGTGGTCTGCAAGCCAAGGAGGGAGCCCTCAGATGAGGACCAACCTTCCAGCACTGTGTTCTGGGACTTGGGCCTCCAGAACCGTGAGAAAATACATTTCTGTAGTTTAAGCCAACAGCCTGTGGCATTTTGTGATGGCAGCCCTAGAAAACAAATATATAGAGAGTCTAGAAAACAATTTGTCAACCAAGTGCTAAACAAAGTCATACACAGGCTTGTAAAGAAATGAGAGACATTTGACACGTAACTGTCTCCAGTATTTACAAAGGGTCAATGACAAAGTAAGATCAACTGACAAATCAGGCTGTATGCAGGCGGGACTGTAAGAGAGAACCTTAGGACTTCGAGACAGATTTATATTGGGTGCGATGTCTCAGCAGATGTGTGCAAGGATAGGTGGGGTGTGGGGGGAGAAGGATAAATCGAAACCACTGTGTTCTTGCAGTTTAGCAGGCCGTTAAGGGTTTAATAGTAAAAATGTTAAAGGAAAACAACAATAGCAGATTAAAACACATTTAAGGGACTTGCTTATCAAGGCAATAATCCTCATTTATAGGTTACAAAAATGTTGAAAAAAAAGCAGCTCATATACCTACGATGCTACAGTTAGAACTATAGAGTATTTAGGGGGAAAAGTGGAGGAATCTTGGATTCAGAAGTGAGCAAATGTAAATTGTGTTACAGGCAGAAACAACCACAGAAAGTTAAACAGAACAGACACAAAAGAAGACATACTGTGCGGTGTGGTGGCACACGCCTGTAATCCCAGCACTTGGGAGGCTGAGGCAGGAGGATCATTGTGAGTTCGAGAGCAGCCTGGACTACAAAGTGAGCTCAAGGCCAACCTGAACTGCATAACGAGACCCTGTCTCAAAAAAAAAAAAAAAAAAAAAAAAATTGTTTTTGAATGTTATTTATGTTACTGGAAAATTTATACACAACTTTACCACACAGCTTGTACTCATAAATACATTCTTTTTAGTTCACTTAGTGGATCCTTCAGTGTTTCTTACGTAAGTTAAATTTAAATAAGAAGACTGTCACACTAGAGAATTTCTCTTTATGAGGTGATTTTGGGGGAGGGGGAGGTGGTTTGATATAGCTTCTCACTACATAGTTCAGGCTGACCTTGAACTCACAAAAACTAGCAGCAATCCTTCTGCCCTAGCCTCCTAAGTGCTGGGATTTCAGTAGTGTTCCATGGTACCCAGCATAGAGGGAAATGTTAAAAGCATTTAAGAAGAGTTTATCTTTCATAACATAGCAGAAGCAAATAACAATACAGACAAAATAAGACTACTTCCAGATTTCAAATATTTTTGATTAAGACAAAGCTTAACAGAATTTATTTTGTACAGTAAACATACACAACTACTATTATATACTATAGACTTTTATTTCTTTTAAACATAAAGAAGCTTTGTTTATGGGCGGCATACTTTTTTGCTTTTGGAGCCAGTGTCTACCTCAAACTTGGAGTGATTCTCCTGCCTCTGCCTCTTGGAATGCTGGGATTTCAGGTGTGTGCTACCACACCTGGCTAAGGGTTGCGTGCTTTTATTCAAGTAAATTTAAATGACCTGACTTATTTGGTATACAACTACTTTGATACTTCTTGGTTATCCAACTGTATTTAGCGTATAGCTGGAATTTCACAAAATGAAAACAAGATAAAAGTTTCTCTCAGGCTTTTTTTGCAGGAAGGAGAGTACTGGGAATCAAACGCATGATGTAGTGCTGGCCAGGCAGGCACTGGGCCGCTGAGCTATATCCCCAGGCAAGATAAAAAATCTTCAAAGAAAGATAAAGCTAAAACTGCTTTAAAAATCTCTGGCAGTTTTTTTTTTCCAAAATGAGTAGACAGAAAGCAGTCCTGAAAATCAGCAGGAATGAAAAGTACACCTTTAAAAAAGCAATACAACCCAGTACTTACATCTGTTTGTGTTACTTCACCATAGCTTTTTCCACAACTCCACTTCAGCTTTCTAGAGCCCACTGGATCAGCCCACGTATAAAACACTGCCTTTCCAGGAGGAAGAGAGTCTTCTATCTCACTAAGAGAACTGATATAAGCAGCAAAAATATACATTATATTAAATGCAACATGAGTATATTTTTTAAAAACCCCAAATAATACATTACTAATTCTTAATCCATTAACTGAGATTTATGGAAGTTCTGATTAAGAATAAAATTTCCTTATGTAATAATTTTTAAAAATATTCTAAGAAAATGAGTTTTTCAAGGAAAGTATTAGTTTCACTCAGGAAATGAAGATCTTCAAGTCTTTGAAGCTACTTCATCAATTATTATTTCTATTCAAATTAGGAAAAAAATGTCTTTTAAACGTAAGACTGAGAAGCAATTAGTGTCCCCTGGAATTTGGGTGAGTACTGTATACTGCTCTGCCAGTAGAGGATGGACTGGAATGAGAGCCTTGCTAATGAGGCGGAGATCTTGTACCATCTGATATTCTCCTGAGGGCTTTTACTCTCAGGAGAATGCAAGGGGGCTGACAAGGCTTCAGAAGGCCATATTTGAGAAACTTGTCCATGAGAGGCTGGAAGCCTTCATATGCCACTTTCTTGATTGGATACTGCTTTGGGCTAGGAAATTGCTGGGGTCTTCTAGTCATAATTTTGGGTAATGTACATGCACCATGGCCAGAAGAGCATCCTTCCCCTTTTCCACTTTCCAGCATGCCCTTCTGACATGATGTTTTTGCCTTGGAGCTAACTGACCATGGATTGAACTCCTTGAAACTGACTCATATTAAATCTTTCCTCCTGTAGTTGTGGATGTCGATATTGTCTCTAAGCAATGAGAAAGCTAAGACCGCCTGGGATTACTGTAACATGAAGATGCATAAATTGTATTGGCTCAAGGAAACTGAAAGCAGTGATGTTAAGAAAGGTCCTAAAAGGTCAAGATTTAATTATGGTCTTTTACAAAGCAGTTGGTTTTCCACATGCCTCTACAAGAAGAGGGTACCTACTATTTGACAAAAATCTGAAAATTTATATTTATATTAAATTTACTAAAAATATTAAAAAGTTTTAAGTAGACAAACTAAGGGACTCAAGATAAACCTAGATATAATTCTCATGAAATATGAATAATCATCAAGCTTTTGCCACACTTGCTTTACTTCTTCCATGTTTCTCTCTCTGAAGAACTTAAAAGTAAATTACCAATATCAAGGCAGTTTTACCATTATTTACACTTGATTATAATTTTTTCAAAAACTAAGACACTGTTTCACATAACTACAATACTATTATTAGCTTAAATTAAAAAAATTATAGAGTGAATGTCTCATCACCTAGAGCCTGCTAAAGTGTGCTAAAGTTACTGTATTTCTGATCATCTTTTTACCTTTGTTTGTACTGAACAAGTTCATTCCTGGTGTGATTTATTAATAGGAATGGCGCTGCTCCATCATGATAATCTGAAAATGTAATAACTGTAGAATGTTCAGCTAAATTAACTTCTGCTATAATACCTCCAAGCTAAAAGAAAGGAAAACATTCTTTAAAGTGATCATCCTGCCAAGAAAATTAACTAACAACATTAAATAATAAAACTATTCATAATGTGGTAACTTAGTTTTTGGGGGGTGATTCAGAAAGCAATTCAGAGTTTTGTAATGCATTTCTGGGAGACTATGAATTTTTTCTTTTTTAATTTCTATTGTATACAGACGAGTGAAATTCCAGATGTGGGATATTCTTGTATTCTAGGCACTCCAATTAATTTCCTATACAACATTTTATTTAACTGTTTCCTCTTCATACCTTTTCCTTTTATAAAGAGAAAAATTTGTTCATTTTCAGTGAAAAGGGAAAAAATATCATGTGGTACTCTTGTGATACAAAAAAAAGTTAAAAATAATACAGGAAGTATGTACTAGCTTTTCTTTTTTTATATTAGCTTTTCTAGTGATACATGCAAAAATATTTACTTACCTCATCATTCAGATGCAATAAAACACAATTTTCTTGCTTGTTAAAATATATCCTTTTGGGAGGACCTTCATTGTTTTCAACTTGAATAAGAAGTTTACTGGAAGCATCCTCAGGCCAAAAGGGGATACACTAAAATACATGTTACATATATTTATAAAAATAAAATATAATTCATCATAAATACTTATATCATTTTAATAAAATCATAATAGTAAACTTAAAAACCATCTTTTCCAACATTGCTTTGGTTACTGAGTTGGTCAGGTAAAGTTATCAACTGTCAACAGGGGGGTCACTGTAAATAAAAGCAATGGGGAAAGAAAAAAAGGACTGGGTAGGAACTGAAGAGTTACAATAATCTGGGCACTTGGGAGGATTCTTATATAGTCTAGACTTTATAGAGAAGGGCTGAAAATTCAGCAAGTAAACTGAGCCAAGAACTAGGGCACAGGTGATCAGTGTAAAGCAAGGGTAAATCCAGTTGCTAAAGACAAAAATCATGTGTTGGCATGATTTGGTAATTAATTAAAAGTCAAAATATATACAAGGTGATGAATCAAAATATGTATTAAATTTAGTGTCCTGGTCATCAAACAAGAGTGAAATGGTAAAAGAAATTAAAGTTTGGAGAAAGAAGTTTAGAATCTTTAAGAAACAACTGGGACAACAGTGGTCTGGAAACCAGACTAAAGGAATAGGAGATCAACAAGGCACCAGAAAGACTGGAGAGCTGGATACAATGAGAAGAGCTAAATAATAAACAATGGAGAAGCAGCCTTGTCTGTAAACTGTGAAGTTAATTCCCTCCTCATAGGGCCTGACCAGACTGATCACCTCACAGTTTTCAATGAGACTCTGTGATACCTAATCATGATCATATACAACCTGAGAACAATGTGTAACAGCAACTGGTTATTAGAGGTGAGTGTGTTAGCTTGTTAAAGGCAGTTTTTTTGTTGTTGTTGGAGGGGTGCCAGCCCTTGAACTCAGGACCTCACACTTGCCAGGTAGGTGCTGTGTTGCTGAGTTATATCCCCAGTCCTTCTTATGGTTTGTGTCTGGGTATCCCCGCAAAGCCTCATGTAGTCATGGGGCAGGCTTTTAGAGTTTGACTGATTATGGGTGTGACAGCTACACCCATCCTGGGGTGGATAGTTTGCATATATAAGGGAGAGGAAGAGGCTACTTGTGGCCATTCCTCCCTTTTAGTGCTTGTTGCTTTGGCTGTGTTCTGCCACCACGAGCTGTAGCCCTCTGCCATGTGCCACTCTGCCTTGTAACCTGCCAAGTATGGACTGAAACCTCCACAAACTGTAAGTAAAATAAACCTTTCCTTCCTTAATTTTGGGGGTCAAGTACTTTGTCCCAGCAACGAGAGAAAAATAACCAAGACAGAATTTGGTACCAGGGGAGTGGGGTCATTGCTGTGACTGTACCCGACCATGTGGTTCAAGAGCCTTTGGAAATGGCTTGTGGGAAGAGTTTGGAAAGGTTCGGAGATGTCTCCTGAAAGAGAAGCGCTAGAACACCTTTGGCTGTTCTGTCTGGGCGATGCTGGTCACAGCTCAGAAGACCAGAAGGCTGACAGAAATCCTGCTGGTAAAGACCGGGTTCGAGAGGTTTCTGTTGGGAAAAAGGACTCCATTGGTTGTTGGACTCCAGACAATGTGTGTTATGGCTTGGCACAAAGTTTATCTGCATTTTGCTCGTGTCCAGAGACTGTGCCTAAAACTGAGATTAAGGGCGGCAGTGGAATGATTAATCTGGCAAAAGAAATTTCAAGGCAGCTGAACGTTGGGAAAGTGGCATGGCTACTGTTGCGGGCTTTTAGCCAGGTTTATATTGAGAATCAAGAACAAAGAGCCCAGCAGGATGATTTTAAATGTTGTGAGTTTGGCCAGAAAGGAAGCTCCAGTAAAGCTGTGGACTGCAAAGGTGGAGCTGAGGATATCTCCATTGCTGAGAAGGAACAAGAGAATGAAAAAGATGGCCTGAAGGCATCACAAGCAGCAGCAAGTCTCCACCCTTTGCAGCCTCAAAACTGCAAAGGTGACAGACCTTGCCTTGAGAAGAAAGCTGCTGAGCACCATGTCAGAATGGCGGCAGCATAGAAAATCTGCTCCTCAGAATTGGATTCAGAGTGCCCAGCAATCCAGGCACTCGACCCCTGTGGCCAAGAGAGAGGAAAACTTGGCTACTGCTCCAGGTGGCAGCAGACCTTGGCATCATCCCCGTGGCCCTGGCTTTAGGTGCATGGAGAATGCAAGAGTTCTGAGGTTTAAGAGGCTTCCACCCAGATTTCAGAAGGCCTGGGAGGCCAGGCAGTGTGCCCCTGAGAGGGCAGTGTGTGAGGCTATGAGTATGAAGCAAAAGGTGCCCTGGAGACCTCAGAAGTTTAGAAAAGCCACGACTGTGGATTATCTAAGGAAAGCTGCAAGGAGGGAGCAAAGCGGGCCTAAGAGGGAAGCCGTGGAAGCTGTAACCACCAGAAGTGCCACAGCGATGGACTCGTGCAAGCCCTTTGGAGCTCACAATGTGCCACAAGTTGCTTCAGATGCTACATGTGGAATTACAGGACATGATGTTAGCCCTGCTGGATTTTGGACTTGCTTTGGTCCCAATGCTCTGTGTCCCCGTTTGTACCTTTAGGAATGATACTGCTTATTTTGTGCCATTGAATGTTGGAAGTGTCTAACTTTTCATTTGTACAGGGGCTTACAGCTAAGAGTTTTCCTTACATCTTGGAGAAGACTTGGGACTTGGATTCTTCAGCAGTGCTAAAACTGTGAGGACTTTGGCAACTCTTGCAGATGGACTAAATGCTGTTTCTATAAAGGGATGGGCATGAGTCTTTGGGGGGCCAGGGGTGGAATGTTATGGTTTGTGTCTGTGTGTCCCCCCAAAGCCTCATGCAGTCCTGGGGCGGGCTTTTAGAGTTTGATTGATTATGGGTGTGAGAGCTACACCCATCCTGGGGTGGAAAGTTTGCATATGTAAGGGAGAGGAAGAGGCTGCTTGGGGACATTCCTCCCTTTTTAGCGCTTGTTGCTTTTGCTGTGTTCTGCCGCCATGAGCTGTAGCCCTCTGCCATGTGCCACTCTGCCGTGTAACCTGCCAAGTATGGACTAAAACCTCCACAAACTGTAAGCGCAATAAACCTTTCCTTCCTTAATTTTGGGCATCAGGTATTTTGTCCCAGCAATGAGAGAAAAGTAACCAAGACAGTCCTAACAGCAATTTTATTCAACCATAAAATAAAACTAGATATAGCACAATGTTAAGAATTTACCACACTCAGATGGTTCCTCCACTCAAGAATTCTCGAAGGAACTGACCTGGTAGAGTTAACACCACAGCAATACTAATCCAAGCATGTTTCCCATGAGGAATCAAGAGGACTGAATATGATATGTAAACATTCCCAAGCCCATTATTCTTTGATAGCACTGGCTGAATGCTAGATTTTAAGATTAATAATGTACATTGTCATTTTTAAATGTTATATGCAGGACATTTTTAGACTTAAGAAAGTGCTAAAATTTTTGTCTTATGTAGTGGGAAAATAGAGCTATAAATTTAACAAATCAAGAGAGGTAATACTTATGGGTATGTATCTTAAGGTTGACCACAGTATGCCAATATAAAAATTTTAAGATTGCAAAAGAAAATTTATCTTAAGCTGAAACAGAAAACAAAAAGAGACAATGAGAAAGTAAAATTTTAAAAAGCTGGCATACATTTGTACTTGCATAATGGAAATGTACACCATTGAGAGTCTACACACTGTTTTTAAAAGATAATCAAGACCCAACAATATCTGTGAGACATGAATCCAGATAAAAACTGTAAGTATGGAAAAATATCTGTGAAGTATATAAAGCAAAGAAAACTTGAGCTGTGATCTCAGCATCTACCTGTAGAAAGGATAGAGAACAGCAAAACTTTCAAGATACTTTTTTTTCTGTTCTTAGTGCTCAGTACTTTTCCGTTCTTCCTTCCCTCCCTTTGTTCTCCTCTATGCCCCAGGTTCATAAAATTAATGCAGGCAATCCCCATCCCTTGACTGATATCATTAAATGGGAAAAATGAACAAGAAGTAACAGGTGTTTGCTCTGATTCAGCCTCATATTTACACTACTCAAAATAAATGAAGGTTTTACTGCTGCTTTCATTAGTCCTAGTGACTCCTTATTTCTGTCACCACAGCTTGCTCCCATGCAGCTGAACTCTTCACACTCTTTCATTCCCTCCAAGTCTTTGTTCAAACATGACTTCAGTAAGTCCTATCCTGATCATTTTACTAAAAACTGTAGCCCACTCCTCCTCTTCAGGACTCTTGATATCATTCATCTTGCCTGCTTCCTGTTTCCTCCACTAGATTTCTCACTTATAAATGCACTATTTTACTATGGCATTATTAATGATTCCTTCTGCCTCATTGAATTAAAAACTACCTAAGGTCAGAAATTTGTGATTTTTGTTAACAGATACACTGCAGAATGCACAAAAAGCCCATCATAAATATTTACTAAAAGAATATATAGATTTGAAAAACGCAGAACTTCTGGAAATGAGAAATGTAATTATTCAGATAAAAACATTCAGCTGCAGTGTTAAATAGCAGGTTAGACATGGAAAAGGTTAAAAAAAAAAAAAGATGAACAAGATACACATGTACAATTTATCCAGAATGCAACAAGAGGTATGTAGATGGAAAAGGTAAAAGAGACAGTAAGATACAGGAAGAATATAAATATCTATCATGTCTAACTAAGAATCCAGAAGAAGAAAATGGAAAAACAAAGGTGAGGCAATATCTAGAGACACTAGTGGCAAGTTTTACAGAAAATATGAAGCACATTAATCCACAAATCTAGGAGTAAAGTATTTCAAGTAGGATCAATAAATATCAAGTAACTTACAATCAGACACATAATGATATGACTGAACATTAAAGACAATGAGAAGAAAAACCTTCAAGGTAGCCAGAGAAAAAAGAAAGCCACTTCCAAAGTAATGGCACAATCACCATCATTCACAAAATTTATCCAGAGTTCTGACAGCTGATGATGATCTAGAATTAAAATTTCATTCTAATGATCTAGAATTAAAATTTCACTCCTACTTTCTTCAAATAACCTGAAGTAAAGCTTGTTTTTCTTACTCTGTGAAGGAATTCCTAACAGCTTCTTGGAGAAAACAAGTCACTTTCTCTGCTTTGATGCATTTATACCTTATATATCCTTTTAGTGCAGTATTTAACCAAACTGGTTAGTAATTGTCAAACATCTACCTTCCTGGTTCTGTGATCTTAGAAGCCAAAGTCCAGTGTTTAATAATTAAATATCTGTATCCTATCTCAAAAACTCAGTAAAGGTTCATGGAACTGAAACAAAACTAGGGTAGAAGAAGGTTAAAATATTATGTGGTCTTTTCAGGCATCCAATTTTGAGAAAAGAGCCTGAAGAGGTACATTTTTAAAATGCATCTACTCACCTGCTCCAAATCAAGAGAAAGCCATTTATTAAGTCCCTCTTCAGCCACTGATATATGATATTTGCTTTTGTTTTTAATCATATAAAAAGGGGTAAATGTCACAATTCTTGTAATGTTAAAACTGCTGAGGTCTATAGTGACACCAACCTATAGAAAAAAATCAACAGTTCAAAAACTTTTATATTATGCTACTGTCCTTATAAAAAGTAATTAATAGATACACTTTAAATAAAAGTTTCTTGAGCATAAAATAAACTCACTTGATAATCCATTTGTGGGCCTTTACATTTAACAGCTCCATGACTACCAACTGTGTCAATTGAAAACTGATCTGACAACTCACTATCAGTTACCATAAGCTGAACCTAGGAAAAAAGTTTGAAATATATTATAGGTTAGGTAGCTTCAAAAATGCTTATTTAAATTGATAAATTTTCTTTCCATTCTGAACCAAATACTGTGTTAACACACTAAACCTTTATCAATATTAAATGCTAATGTTTAACCTCAAATACTTAACAAATATTATTTTTACCTAAATTTTATTTTATTCTTCAGAACTCTAAAAACTGAAAAGGAGTGACAAACAGTTAAAGAGTGAAAGTTTGAAAAAAAAAGTTACATACCTTATTGTTATTAAAAAAGTGATTTGGCTGAAAAGAAAAGAGAACTGGCTTTTTATAATTAGGTGGATGCTTTCGATGAATTCCATCTGCTTTGTACTGTAACATTCGACCAGTTTTATTGACCATCCAATATGGACTATGAAATGCCACCACAGCCTGACCAGTATTGTAAGTCATGTGGATAGCAATATCTAAGTCAGTCTTTTCCATTTCTGAAACACAGGTAAAGGTGATGAAACTAATGTCTTCTTCATTAGATCTTATGTGATATTCACCTTTCCAATCATGATTAAGATAGTTAAGTAATTTTAAATGTAATCTGGCTTTGTCCATTTGTACAGCACACATCTGGGCTGACTGTCCTTCATTTAGAGTAAAAACTGTATTTTCAATCCCCTGTAACGAAAAAAAAAAAAAACCAATAAATTTAAAAATGCCTTTGAATAATATGTCCCAAAGTTTTATTTAATTATTCCAAATGTTACACAAAATGCTCTTCAAAATACCTGTCAGAGTAAGAAAGCTTACATTCAAATTCTAAGTTAGCCAGTGGTATAAACTGCAAAATATTTCATCTAGACTTAGATAACATTTTGTAAACTGGTCTAAATAACCTATTTCAAAAGACTACTGTGAAGATTTAATAATATAATGTAAAACTTCACTGGAAATTAAACACATAAAGCTCTATAATTAGTAAAACAAACCAACCAAAAACCCAATCTTATCTATTAGGAACTGTAGTTCTGAAAACAACAAATAATGAAAAACACAGGAGAAAACTGATGGTAATCCAAAAAAAAAAAAAATCAATCCCTACTGCCTTCTCTTTTTGATTTTCAACAGTCCCTTTATTCCTTTCCAATTATTATTTAAATGGTATTTTCTGTATTTCTCAAAATTGTTCATTTCTCACCAGCCACACTTCCATTACCTTAGCTGTAATATCTAGGACCAATCAGTTTGAGAGTCTCCTAATCACATTGGCCCCCCTCCCTGTTTCTATATCTCAGTTAAATTGTCTTCATAAAAATAGATCCTATCCTTTGGACACTGGAAAGCAGAATATGATCTCTAAAAGCATCAAATTAAAAATTCTATGAGAATGAAAATGTAAATATTACACCTATACATTGCACCAGTTTTTCCAATATCTTTCCTCGCTTCTTTCTAGTGTAACAGGGATTTTGATAACATTTTAAATTCATTAAAGCATGTGTAGTGTCAATTGGGATTTTTTTACCTCTTAAAAATATGGTGGTGTTAGAATAGTTAGTAAATGACAACAACTGCTAAATTCTTTACATATCCTAAGAAATCCGATTTTCTCCATGTCCCAACCATGTGTTTTCTCATTCTCATTTTATTAAAAAAAAAGATTTTCATCAAGAATATAGCTTATATAACATTGCACAACTAGTAAGTGTGAAGAGTTAGGATGTAATCTCTTTTTTTTTTTGGTTTTTCTCACAACCTTGCGCTTGCCAGGCAGGCGCTTTTGCCGCTGAGCTAAATCCCCAGCCCCTTTATTTATTTATTTATTTATTTATTTATTTATTTTTTTGTTTTGTTTTGTTTTTTTCTCCGGTACCAGGAACCGAACTCACGACCTTGCGCTTGCCAGGCAGGCGCTTTGGCACTGAGCTAAATCCCTAGCCCCGCAATCTCAAATTTGACAGCAATGTACAAACTCTTCATTTCTGTCACCCAAATAGAAAAAGAGATATCTACCCAAAAATGTACCAGAAAAGTTTTTAACATATAATTGTTAAAATAAACTAAATCTACAACTACTACATTTTAGTGAAGAATCATCTTTTTTTCCATCAGATAAGTGTGACAGAATATTCTCATAAAGTCCCAAAATATTAAGTACAAAATATTAAGTATAAATTTTTTTTTGCTGAAATACAGTACTTGAATGTCATTTCAATACTGATTTTCATACTTGTTTCAAAAATTATTAAACACATATATGAAATACACCTACATGAAAAAGACTGAAAACTTTATCTTCTAAAACAGTATCTTCAGATGGTGATTATAGTTAATTTTATTATCTATAGGCTCTACATTTTTTAAAGAACTGTATATTACAATATGATTTACAACATATAACATGCATTTATCTTAGTAATCAGATTTCTAAGATAAATTAGTGGAAAACATTTTGTTTTAAATTATATTTTTATACAAGATTAAAACATTTCCATTAGAGTATCTGTATAGTACTTGTTATTCTTTATTAGTACTACTGCCTATGTTACAACTTCCAAATTTTTTTACTGCTCATAATTTCAAGTAATTCAGCCTACAAAATCAAAGTCAGGAGCACTTCCCTCACATTCCCCACCCACTACCCACAACCCCCACATTCCACAATACCTCTAGATAATAAGCAATTTTGTAAGGAAGGAGATTTTGGAGTAGGATTGGTGGCCACAAATGCATTATGTATGGTAGGTCCCACCCATCTTCTGAATATGCTGAGAGAGATGTCAAATTATCTTTTTCAGGAACAATATTAATAATAAATGATTTCTTAGAAGGGTTTATAGATCTACATTTCTTCTTTAGAACAGCTCCATCATTTTTGATAATTTCTTCAAAGTCAATGCCTTCACACATTTGATAGTCCTCATCATCTGGCTTCAGAAAAAGAAATGATCTACATAAAAAATAAACAATATACTTCAAAACACTGTGATAGAAAATAAATTATATGGTTACAGCTTTAGAATAAAGTTTTTTCCATAACTAATACATTTTTTTATCATATACTTTTTAGAATTAGATAAGTATCAACTTTCTAGAAACTTCAGAAATTATTTGGGAATTAGAATATTTTTATCACCAATCTAGTATTTTAAAAAGTACATTTACAAGATAATTGGTTTCTTAAGAAAATACACAATCATATATGCAAAGCAAACCATTAACAACCACCTATGTGAAAGTGTTGTTTTTATTTTTATTTTTTTGGTACCAGGAATCGAACTCATGACCTCATGCTTGCTGGGCAGGAGTGGTGCTGATGAGCTACATCACAGGCCCAACCACCTATGTCTTATGCATTTAACTGAAAGAAACTGGCTTTCAAGGAATATGGTCCTAGCAAGAAGTAAATGTAATCACTAAGTTAATACAATTTTTAAAAAATTTCTATTAAAAAATAATTATCAGCTATCCAACATAAATAAATAAATGTTTCAATGGACAATGACATATGGAGTATAAATGCAGAATAATGATTGTAAGAAAATGGAACAAAATCATCATCAGATATCACATTGTTAGTCGATGTGTGAATATCACATTCTTTGTTTACATTTCAATGATATTTTTAGGTGCAATCATTTTTATAAAATTATAAAAGTAGAAGCAAGAAAATGAGGGAAGGACTAATTAAATGCAAATTATTTTTCAAATTTCATCATCCAGTATGTACACCATGCTGTACTACAATGAAATCCCAAGTAGTCTTTATAACCCCAAATAAACTTCCTATCCTTTCATTCCTCCTTTGTTCATATAATTTCTTCCACTTAGATTTCTCTTCCAATTTAGTCTCAACATCATATTTTACCTTAACTACATGTACTTCCACCAGGAAGCAATCATTGATCCTTTGTTTTCCAAAGTTTCCTATAACTACAACACTTTCTTTAACTGTCTACAACCCAAGTTTCCAAACTTATGTACCTGTTTACATAATATATCAATCTCTCAATGGTAACAGTCACATCCAATCCATTTTTGTATCTATAGTATTTTATCCACAAGAAATAAGTATTTGTAAATTAAAGTAAGTTCATTAAACTTAGGAATCAGTACATTTAAATTCTGTAGAGAAAGGTAACTGTTAACTTAATGCCTCATATCTTAAATATTTAAGTGAACCCACATCTAAGAAGGCGGTTAAAAGCACCTGGATTAGGCAAACAGCAAACTACTTACTACTACTAGTAATAACAATTAAGATAGATTAACTATTCTGTAATGAATTACTATTTAGTCTTCAACAAAAGACCATAAAATACTATTATCTCTAATATGGCCAGAATCATAAGATATATAGCAGAAATTTATTAAAAGTACAATGCCATTAACTATTACATAAGAATAAAATGAATTTAAAGTTCTGCACAGAAAGTTTTAAACACATCTTTAACTTCATTCAGTCTTGTAGCCATACCCAAATCCTTTCTAGAAGGAAGTCGATATTGTAAAAAATTATTTTTTCTTGCTGTTTTCCCAATTCTTTCCCTCAGAATATTTGGAATAAGCAATAAAACACTCATTAGTGTTTGTAGATCTACATGCTAGACTACATGCCCAAAGATGCTAGACTGCTTTTTAAGCATTACAGATCCCACACCAGTAAAGATACACTTTTTAGAGCTTTCAGTGATAACAAACAACTGTGGCACATGTGCTACAGATTCACCACCATGGTCCTATGCTAAACTTCTTGGCCTGAGTCACAATAAATAGAGCTAGAGAACAGTTAAGAACCACTTATAGCCAGGTGTGGTGGCACATGCTTGCAATCCCAGCACTTAGGAGGCTGAGGCAGGAGGATCTTGTGAATTTGAGGCCAGCCTTGTGGCTACAAAGTGAGCTCAAAGCCAGCCTGAACTGCATAGCAAGACCCTGTCTAAAAACGGAAAGAAAAGAACCACTTATAACTTTGCCTTTTTATTTTTTCTGTAGCACTAGTATTGTATCTATAGTATTTTATCTATAGATAAAATTTTATCTATAGATAAAATACTATGTGAAAGTGATTCATTCTAGTGTATCTAAAGTATTCATTTCTAGTGTATTTCTAGTGTGAAAGTGATTCATTTCTAGTGTATTCATTTCACTAGGTGAAAGTGTTCATTTCTAGTGTATGTTTTCAAACAGTATTTAAGCAAATTATAATGCTTAATTCTATGTAAGGTTTTATTCTCCAAGAGTTCAATTTCCATAAAATAGGTTATTTTCAATTTCACATTCAATATCCTGAGCAATGTTTATTTGTTAACATATTAAATTTAGAATTGTAAGACTAGCTCATCACTATTTTGTTACATCTTTTCTTTAAAAAAATACCAATGGAGGGGAGTGGCAAGATGGCAGAGTGTTAAGCAGCAGAGAAAACACCTCTCCGTGTGTTGTCATCCAGACACTGGAATATAGCAATGTGGGGAAGACAAGAGGCAGGGAGGCAACTCCCTGCAGACCCAGGAAGGATCTGAGGCAAAAACTGAAGCCCACAGAGAGGGTGAAGAGAAAATTCAATGACGAAGGAGGTAGCCAGTGGTACCTTCTTCCTGAGACAGAAACACTGTACAAGAGGGGCGGTCCAAACCTGTCGACATACAGCAAGTGCTGGTGACCCTAGAGGCTTCCACAGAGAGACACAGCAGTGGAGGGGAGCAGCAGATGAGAAGGACTGCACTAGCTGGTAGTGAGTGTGGACAGCTCAGCCTTCAGGCAAGAGACAGCAACTGGCCAGGAGCCATTTTGGAGAGGGACTGATAAGAGCTCAGAACTCAAGAGCAGCTCTGGCTCCACCTAGCGGCTCCAAAATTGGATCAGGTCTGTGGAAGGTGTGCTGGACTGCTGCAAGCTGCCAGAGGATGGAGGCTGTCTGGCTTTTTGGGATAAATCAACACAGGCCAGGGACACTGTCTCCATACATTGTTTACCAGTGACAGCAAAGACAAACCTGGAAGTGGACTTTTTTCTGTTGTTTGTTTTTTGTTTTTGTTTTGTTTAGTTTTGCTTCCCTCGCTTTTGTTCCTGTTGTAGTTTTGCTTTTTTTGGTATTGTTTTGTCTTTGTGTTTTTTCTTTTCTCTTCTTACTCCTTTATTGTTTGAACTTGTATTTATATGAGTGTCAACATGGTGTCTAGCTGCTTTGTGGTTGTGGGTCCATTCAGTTCTTCAATATCTCCCTTCTTTCCTTCCAATCTTCCCAAAGTTAGCAGGATTCCCCTTTGTCTTCCAGCCTTCTACTCTCTTCCTCTTCTTCTACTTCTCTATTTATTTCCTAACCTACTTTAAATTTTAACTCCTCAGGGCAAAACTGACATACTAAGAACTTGTATATTACGTACAACTTTTCTGATTTTAGATTTTTTTTATATAACCAGAAATCTACTTCATGTGGTTAAAGATGGCAATTTACTGGTTACTTTAGTTTGCCATTTTCTAGGCTGTATACTACATCATTATTATTGTCACTACTATAACCAAAAGTGACATAATTGTTCTAAACAGCTGCTACAAACATCACCCCAGGAAATAAACTTAAAAAAAAAAAAAAGCAAGGAGATGTCTAAACAAGATGCAACCCCAAACATCACCAAAGGCAAACCCAGGGGGCAATGAGGTGGAACAATCAGAAAACCACCCATGTGGCCTCTCTGAAGTGGTAACAACAAAGCAACTGAATGAGGCTCCAGAAATAAATAAAATCAGAAATAATTCTCAGATAACTGCAGAGATGGTCTCCATAATGAAAACCATGCTTACTGATTCTATAGCAGATAAGAAAACAGAGCAGTTTAAGAAAATAATGGAAGCAGTGATGTTTATCATTGGAAAGAAATGGAATCCATAAGGCAGCTTCAAGCAGATATCCAGGAGAATACAAATTCCATTGAAAATATTCACAGTAGATGCTGTGAGGCCAGGATCTCAGACATAGAAGACAGGTTTGCAGCTAGGGATCACGAAAAGAAAGATTTCTTGAAAATAGCAAGAGACCATGAGAAATCAATACAACAGCTGCTAGATAATGTAAACAAGAATAACAAGATTAATTGGAGTCAATGAAAAAGCAGCAGATAGCGCAAATGATATAAAAAAAACTTCTCTCATACAGAAAAAGATTTTGACTATAAGCGAGGCATACAGAACTCCAATTGGCCAGGACCAAAAAAAATATACAGCCAGGCATATCATAGTCAAGATTCCAAAAATTCAACCCAAGAATAGAATATTAAAAACTGTTAGGAAATAGAAACAAATCATCTATAAAGGAAAGCCCATCAGAATCACAGCTGATTTCTCAGTATAAACCCTCAAGTCAAGGAGAGCTTGGAGTGAAGTATTTCAAGCTCTAAAGGAGAACCTTCAACCCAGACTGATGTACCCTAGAATGACTATTATCAAAAAATCAACCAATAACAAATGATGGAGGGGCTGTGGGGAAAATGGAACTCTTTTTCACTGTTGGTGCAAGTGTAGACTGGTACAACCACTGTGGAAATCAGTGTGGAGATTCCTCACAAAACTAGGATTGGAGGTCCCATTTGACCCAACTATTTCCCTTCTGGACATCTTCCCAGAAAAATTAAAAACATCATACCATAGTGATATATGTGCAACTATGTTTACAGTAGCACAATTTGTAATAGCTAAATCTTAGAAACAACCCAAATGCCCATCAATCATGGAATGGATAAAAAAAAGATGTGGTCTTTTTATATAATGGAGTATTACTCAGCCATAAAGAAAGATAAACTGGAGACCTTTATAGGTACATGAATGCAACTTGATACCATACTCGTAAGTGAATTAAATCAGATGCAAATGTGTGAACATCATATTCTCCCCAGTGTTGAGAAGCTGAAAGAGTAAATGGGATCCAGAGTGAATAACAGATATTGTAAAATGGGAAGAAACTTCAAAAGGAAAGCAAAATTGGTTTAGGGAAATGGAAAAGAAGGAAGGGAAAAGCAGAGGAAAAAAAAATATACACACAAAAGATAGTTAAAATAGTTATACTATTACTTTCGCTCAGTTCATTGAAAAAATAGGTTTGTGCTAATATTGCTTGGACAATTAAATGCTGATATTTTGTACTCTGAGTGATTAATTTAAAATAACAATATGCAATGTATTAACCATTGTTATCCTCCTATCATATTATTTTGGAATTTTGTTTTTTGCTTTCTTTTTTTTATTTCTTTTTCTTTAAAATAAAAAATTTTAAAAAGTACTGATTGGCCAGGGAGACAGCTCAGAGGCACAGCACCTACCTGGCAAATGCAAAGTCCTGAATTTGATCCCCAGTACCATAAGAATATACTGATTACCAAGTAAATATTGAAGAGTAATGCAGTTATATTAAAATTCTATCCTTGAACAATTAACAGACACACATGTGGACATGAAATACTTCTTCTAAAACCATTTCAAAGAACTCTATTATAAAGCCATTCAAAAGTAAAACTCCATTTGTAGCACATAAAACTCCATACTACCTGTCATATTCCCTTACATATTTTTAAAAGTCATGAACATATACAACAATGGTTATGACGGTCAAATACTGTAAGCATAATAATTGTTTTTAATAATAAAAACATGATTTACATAGTATAAATTAATTATATTTAATTATTTATTTAATGAATTAATTATAAATTATGCCTATCTCTGGATAGGCATAATACAATATTGAATAATATTTCTTTTTTAAAAAAACCAACTGATAATTGTATTTGTTAGGAAATCATAAATAACTGACCTGGTATAAATTAAAAGCCTAACAAATGTATACATTTACATTTAATAGAGGTACTTAGGTGCCTTGAAATCAAAATAACAGAGATGAGATATTTAATAAGGTAGAGTTGATAACTAAAAGTCAAATATTCACATAAAATCTAAAAATAAAAATTTTATGAAAGAACATAGAGCGAACAAAAAGATACAATCACCGGTATGATGCTAATGGTATGTTGAATTCATTCTCAGGTGAAGCAATTCCCAAGAAAGTGTCTCCTTCATAAACAGAAATTGGGACTGAAAAATGATTTCTAATCTGGAAACAACAAAAAAAGATACTGCACTTAATTTTATTAATCAAAGAACCTAAATATATTTTTAAAGTCCTTTTAAAAATATTTTCACAAAGGAAGTATTAAGCCCAATGCGCCTTGTTGATTTAAATTAGAAAACATAAAAATACAAGTATTTATCCTAAAAATTACATCAATGTTTCTAGCTTTATAAACGAAATGAAATTTTATAGAAATTTGAACTTTAAACATCTTAGAGGGGAGCAAGATTGTATCTTCTTGACCTTAGGGTAGAGGTTAATTTGTTTAGATACACGTTTTTGTTCAGACAAAATAGTAGAAAAACAATTCACAGAAAAAACTGCATCAAAATTTTGAACATTTAAGTGAAAAACATGTCACAGGCTAGGAAATGTCTGCAATACATTTATCAAAAGATTTTATACCAGGACACACACAAAAATTCTAAAAATCTTCAAGTTGTAATTAAAAGAAAAAGGCAAACAATATATATCAGTGACTTATGGATAAATGAGAAAGATAACGTATCTAGGAATCAAGAAAATACAAGTTAAAGTAATGATCATATACAGTAATTACATTCATATTAACAGACTGGCATAATCAGGAGTCTTACATTTTAACAGTTAAAAATGGTAAGAATAGCACACTCATACATGTCCAGTAAAAATGTAAACTGATAAAGTAACTTTCAAAAATAATTCAGAAAAGCCTAGTAAAAATGGAAATTCACTTTAACACTTAGCAATTATTCTTCCTTGTTACATACTGAGAGAAACATTTATACATGTGTACCAAAAGTCAGTCATGTTCATTACAACACTGATTTTTACTGGGTATTTCTTTTTGTTGTTGTTGCTTTGGGTCTTTTTTACTACTGGGAATTGAACTCAGGACCCTGGCATTTGCCAGGCAGGTGTTGTGCCACTGAGCTATATCCTTGGCCCACAACACCAATTTTTAAGAAAAAAGAGAAACAATCTCATGAATAGTGGAATGATTAAGAAAATTTTCTTAAAATTAGCATTTATATAACAGAATATACTACTACAGTAGAAAACAGTATATAATTTATGGACATAAGAATTTTAAAGACATAGGAAACAAAATACATATGTCATGTCACTAAAATAGTATTTTTCTAGGAAGGCAAGAGGAGGAAATTCAGGCTAAAGTAAACAAAAATAGTTGACTTCAAATCCTTTTTTAAATTTGAAGGTAAGTTTTAAAATATCAACATTTCTTGTATTTCATAATGTGGATAAAGGTCTATATTATAAAAATTTCCCAAAATAAACAATATAATTGAAAAATGTTTCTAAAGAAAAGATGCTCTATCAAACCAGAAATCACTGCTCAGAGAATTCAAACAATAGACATCAAGAATAAGTTTTACAATCAAGTTTTTAAAATTATAAACATAATTGCAAATAAATTTTATATTCAAATTATTGGTTACATAAACTTTTTCATAAGACCTCAAAACCACAGACCAAGACTTCTCATGAACAAAAGTGCAAAAATTCTAAACATGATTTTAGTAATCAAATACAATAGTATACTAAAAGTTTGATAATACTTCATCAAGTGAGACTTATCCTACAACTGTGAAGCTCATCTAGCACATACAGTTATTGACAAATTTTAAAAATCCTTTCAATTAACACAGAGAAAAGGCAAGAAAAAAAATGACACACTCAGATTGGAAAGGATGAAGTAAAAAATGTACTTGATATCACAACTATCTCATCTATCAGGACAAATGAGTGTAATAAGGTTGTACAACACAGGTGAATATAAAATAAACTGTGTTTCTAAATGATGGTAGTGGAAAACCAGAAATTAAAATTTAAAGTGAGCCAATTTTATGAGAAGTTTTGATGTAGATTGATAATCAGATTCTAAAATTGAAATGAAAATGGAAAGGGCCTCTAAAAGCCAAAAGAATAAATTTGTACTGCCTAATTTCAAGATTTACAAATACTGACATAAAGATAAACAGATCAATGAAACAGAATAGAGCCCAGAAAAAAAACCATCCATCAATATATATGGTAAATTAATTCCTGACAAAATGTCAAGGCAATTCAACAGGACAAAGACAATCTGTGTTGGGACAACTGGATAGCCAATGTGTAACAAATTAAATCTCAATCTTTGCCTCTCAATATATACAATTCACTTAAATTGGAAATATGGTACCTCCATATAATAGATTAATTCTCACTAAATACACATAGTTGCATGTAACAATACAGAAAATGATACAAATTTTGCTGAGTGAAACAAGTCAAATTCTGTACTGTATTCTAATACATTTATATAAAATTAAAGACTATGCAACTCATTTACAGGGAGAACAGATCAGTATGTGTATAAAAATGGGAAAGTAGGGAGAAAGGAGTTTTTTTGAGTAATAAATATATTTATTACTTTGAACATTTTGAAGGTTGCTAATTGTATTACTGTGTCAAATATTTGTAGTTTAGTACACATTCCTTAATAAAGCTGTAAATTATCCTCTAGAAAAAGTCTCTACCATAGAAAGGACATGCATGTCCTTTCTATTTTTATTAGAGAAAAAAATATTTTATTAAAGAAAAAAATAACATACAAAAATGTTTTAAAAACAGTCCTATTAAAACTGTGAAACGTGTACTGAATGGAATTCTTCCACCAGTCATATTACAGCAGTGTAATTACAGGCCATGAGATTCTTCCTTTCTATTAGCTGTCTTTCTATTACAGTTTGTATTCTTTTGATACTAATGTATTTTTCAAGGTTTTTATTCACTCCGGATAGGCATAATAAGACCTCTCCTAAAAATCAAACATTTCATACCTGCACTGGTGAGCGGATTGTTACTGTCTTACTTCCTTCTACTGCATCAATTTGACAAACAATAGATCTTTCAACTCCAGATTCTCTGTGTCTTACAGTGTACAGACGTCGTCCCACTTTTGTTAAAGGAATCTTATCAGCAGTTGAGTGGTTAACAGGCGCTAAATTAAAAACAGACATTGAAAATTTTTATAATTCACTATATATTTATTTTAGGTACATGGTAAATACCAAACATAGTAACTGTCTTAAACTTGAAGTCACTGAAGTCCTTGGACATAATCCCTACAAAGGTATACTTTAAGAAGCCATCACTTATTTCCACAGCACTGACATTTTTAACTGAAAAAAATATTTCAGAGCTTAACCTAAAATAATACCAAATCTTTTAAAACAACTGAGTAATGAGAATTACAAAATTCAAAAACAATGCTCTCTGGTTTGCTGTCATAATAACCAGACTGTAATACTTTCACATATTAGCCAACACCAACATAACTGTTCTTCAATTTTTAATTTTTCCAACTATCTGTGTCACTTTTTAGATATACTTTTGATTTGATTAATTTTTTGAATATATATACCTAAAATACATATTATGTTGGGGTAAAATTACTTCTTTGCATAAATTTTACTCATGCCTACATCCACATAAAACAAAAAATAAAAAAACAAACAGACATAAAATTGATGAAAAAAACACTGGCAATGCTCTGATAAGACCTGAAACACCTACCACACGATTTTCTGACGAGAACTAGCTATGTTCTAGCAGCCTGCCTCCATACTCCTAGGTAAACTTTAAATGATACTCCCTGCCTCAGTCTTCAACTACTTAAATGTCAGAATACCAGAAAGTCCTATTGGTGAGGATTTGGCTAGATGTTCTGACATTTTAAGTATTTATATACTTTCACTTCCCATAAAAATGAAAAACTTGTGGGTCAGAAAAGATAAAAGAAAGAACCTTCACCTCAATAGGTAGAACATTAAAAACCATTTATATATCCCTAAACCATTTGCATGAATTCAAACTTTTGTGAATTCATTCATCTACAAAACTGGTCAAATACCTACCAAGTTATACTATTTGTAGTTAAAACTAATGACTATTAGCTGTACTGCTATTACAGTTTGTATTTTTTTGATACTAATGTATTTTTAAAGGTTTTTATTAGCTCTAGATAGGCATAATAAGACCTCTCCTAAAATCAAACATTTCGTACCTGCACTGAGCATATTTGTGATCCTGTAAAAGCTGGGTAAGATCTAATATTTTTCTTCCCCATAACAGAACATGCACTAATTAATACAAGAGATTAGTTAGAATTTAGAATACAAAGACTTAGTCACAAAAGGAATTAAAGCACTGCGAAAGGAAAATAAAACGTTCCCCAACCTATTGCAAAAGAAATGTAAAAGCAAAACAAATAAATTATAACACACTACAAGTGGGTAATATAGTATGCAAAATGTAATTAAAACAAAACTTCCAAAAGGAAATACATCACTTACTAAGAAGAATGAAGAAGAGTTTGCTGCTTAAGCTGGTCATTGCACTGAAATGATCATTGTCCTTAGTTCCTACATAATCCATACTTAAACTCTCTTCATTTTTCAATATATATGATTTTGCCAAAGGAACATTGAGTACGTTAAAAGCATCACTTGGTGAAACTGATATAGTAAGTCCAAGAGAATTCAAAATTATAAATGGTGCTAGATCCCTTATGAAGACAGATGAAGATCCAGTAGCAGCTTCTGTAAATGCCTAGTAAAGGAGAGTTTCCTTAAATAAATGCAGGAAACTAAATGATAAGCAAAATATTAAGGGATGCGAAACAAATAATTAAGTTAATGACGAATTTATTTAATAAAAGAGTGAACAGAGACCAGTATCTCAACATTTAAAGTTTTAAGTTTCTTACCGTGACTAAATTATTTAACATTACAAGGCCACATTTGGATAATGTAATGTTTAATTGATCTTTTGAATAGAAACTGGTGACAGTTTTATATGCTGGCACTTTGTAGTTTTCTTCTTCAGTATCTGACTCAACAATGGCCTTTTTGGGTTTCTTTTTCATCTAAAATTATAAATTATAGAAATATAAGAATTTGCATCTAGTAGCACAGCATCACTCATTCTGCACAGTAAACAAAAAAAAACTTTAGCTAAATTCCAATACCACTGGAGAAAACATTTTAAATGTTATGTGTTTCACTGCCTCTACTATAATGAAATACCTGGACATGCCAATTGAGGTCACAAAAGACCAGGGCAGTACTGGATTAGAAAATAATTCCTCATCCTTAGTGATGTGACAAGCACAATTTAGGAAAAAATATCTAAAATCACTAAGTGTATGTGGCATTTGAATGTAAATAAAAAGCACATATTGCACAGCAACATAGCCAAAAAAAGTAATGTAATCTTTTGGTCATGCTAATGAAGAACAGAAACCTAAGGACTTACAAAGTCAGACGGAAGTGGCAAAACAGTGCTGTGAACACAGGACTCGTGAGTTTAGATTAACAGATCCACTGCACGTGTATAGTCTACCTAAAAACCACCTAAAGAATCTCTTCTTCCAAATTCTTCATCTAAAATATCTGGAAAATTAAATTATCTACTACAGTAAGGTACACATGCTAAGCTAGGGACTACTGTAACTTTAAGCCCCTGAAAATTTCAGGTTGAGTCAATCATTATTAGGCAGATACCATGCTGGTAATTCTGCAATTGTTTGCTTTAGAAGCACAACTTTCACCTAAAGGCTCTGAGTTTCATAACTACATAAATTCATAATATATTTCAAGCAAATAATATGCCTTCTAGACAGTCCCTTCAAAGGACAAAGAAAAATCAGGATAAACCACAACCTACAAAATGACCAATGCTAATATGATATAACAATATAATATAGTAACTAAGAGTAGAGACTGCAGCTGAATTCACATCTCACCTCTTCCACTCTGTAACTATTATTGTACTGTATTATTTTAGGAAAAGAAAGTCCATTAAATTCTCTGGTCTTACTCCATCTTATGTTCAAGTGTAGATAAAAACTGCGTGTCTTTCAGGGAGTTATTATAAAGGTTACAGCAAAGATACATTATTCAGAACACTGTCTAGTACATAATTAATGTTATATAATTATTTGTATGGATAGGTAGCACTGGCCTTGGATTTCAAAATTATAATATGCAGAGGTGAAATACAGAACCATGTAGGCAAGGCTCATGATGAGAAAATTTCAATATTGTGATTAAAATTAAAGTGTCTAATGGGATGGGCCTAGATTTCTAAAAAAAATTTCAGACTTCAGACATACCGTACTTCGATACATATTGGTAAAGAAGTTATACAAGCACAGAGGCAGAGGGTCCACAGGAAAACTGCATCTCCTCAAGTCTGTGCGAGGCTAAAACTATGAAAATACTCTTTAAACATACATACACACAAACACACACACACAAATTTTCTCTCTCACATACCTTGATTCCAAGATTCCATGGTCTAAAATCCTCAGTCTGATCAATTTCTAAAGGTTCAAGCAAAGGCTCCCATACACCAAACATTTCGTTATAATAATGAACCTAAAAAGACAATTATTTTTTTTAATGAAGCATCTGTTATTTTCTAAAATGATCTTCCACGCTACTTGCCCCCAGCAGGCTTTTTGGCTGTGCTAGCCGCACATCATCCAGTAACTTCAAATTCCTTAGTACTTTCATCGCCTGGATAACCTTACTGTAGTCTGTATTTATTTTTCACAATTTAATTCAGGTAAAATGCTCTTTCAAACACGTTTCTTTGACTTGTACAATGAACTAAGCATCAAATAGTATGTTCATCTACCACATATTACTGACATTTTAAAACAAGTTCCATCACTGACTAAAAGCAGTTGAAGACAAGTATTTTATGATTTAATGCATCAAAGCCTCTAACAAATTGGACATCCTAGATCAAATCTTCTGCAAAATATCAGAATTATAATCTGAATACAGAAACTGTGATCTACTTCATCAGTTATAATTCTGTTAGTATAAGTGTGTCAGCACACTTCACAAAAGCTTATAACTTCATGTAATCACTTTCACAAGGCAGGATATATCAGATTAGCTTTTAAAAAATATAAGGTCAAATCATTTAAATGAAAATATTCTTGAAAATGATTATATGTAGATCACTTCTGAAGCAAAACATTTTTGTTCTGATTGTTTTAATTACTATTAGAAGAGAATACCCCTCAGCAGCCCAGCACCTGCCTGGCAAGCATGAGGTCCTGAGTTCAATTCCTAGTACCTCACCCCCACTCCACAAGAAAAGAGTATCCATGTATTCAGAAAGTTAGCCTTTTAAAGGAAAAAGTTATTCAATTTTAAATCCGAACAATAAGAATTCCAAACTTAACAAACAACTATTAATATGTCACATTTTATATAAAATCAACTGAAATATATACTTAATGTGATATGTACTCTACAAATAAAAATACTGTACACCTACAAGAAATCAGTCAAGAGCAAACGTATATAAACTATTTTAAAAATTGTAAATCTATCATATTTATTATAAGCTGAATTAAAATAGCTCATTAAGATTCCCACAATACTCTATATGTGGCACTGTTACGAAAACTAGAAAAATACTAAATATGCTTACCTCTAGCTCAACCTGACAATGGAGATTTATTAATGTGCTCCAGTTTTTGCCTTCCCCTGAAAAACGTGACTTTGCTAAAAGCATAGGCACTGTCCTATGACCAACTCCAGCTTCTAGAACTATAAAAATAGAATCAATATTCATTTTTATCATCTCTCCTTCGGGCACTAATTCAGCTGTAGGAGCTATTTTTTCAGTTTCATTTGATTCTTCAAGGAACCACATTTTTAAGTTCTTTGTATCCTTTTTTTCCCACAAATGTACTATAGAGGAAGCGGTTTCTTTTGGGAGGGTTTCCTTAGTTGTATAAAGTGCTGAAGTTATAGTAATCATGGTATTTATGATAACTGGTGAAACCTAAATGGAAAAAAATTTCAAAGTATACAAGTTATATTTGCCGAGTAATCATGAGGAATTAATGTTGAACACTGTTATCACGAAATAGTTGATATAATTTGTTGCCTACCGAAAATTTGAATTACAACTAATTTCAAGTTTTAAAAATATTACACTAATTTTATAAATATTAAACTATAATTTCAACTATACACATCAGGATATTAGATATAACTACAAAAGCAGTCACATGTCAACAACAGAATATAACATTCATTATAAAAACATGAAATATTTTGAAAATAACGTCTCATAAAAATTTTACAAAATAAATTCACTTTATTTAATGGTTGTGAGACTTGCTATAATAATTTCCAGGTTTTACTAATGTTTTTAAAGTATACTAAAGATGTGAAAGATTTACTTACCTTTAGTGTAAGGGATTTTACTGATATATCAATCACTTGTGGATCTTTACCTATCTGAGTAGCCTGATAAAACAAGTCACAGGGCTGCAAAACCTGCAACACAAAAAGCAATAGCACTAAGTTAACATTCAAGTAGTAAATATTTCTCTTTGATGACTTTCTAGTAATAACTATGTTAAATCCAAAAGTTAGAAACACTAAAAGTATAAGAAAGACAACAGATTTTTTAATTATTCTCTTTACTCATGCTTTGTAAGAGAAGGTATTAATAGTAGTAATAGCAATATTATTAATACAAAAGAAGTAGAAACAATCCCCCACTCCAGTTCCAACATTTATTTGAAGCAGCACTGGGACTCTTAAGTATCTCACATTCAACATCTATAAAATGAGTATATAAACATATCTTTGGGAACAAAACATTTAACCAATTGAGCATAGAAACATGAACATAGCACAGTAAGAAAAAAATACTCATCTGATTAAAATCAGTTATTTAATACATGTAACACTGATTATCAACTGAATAGTGTCTGACTCGATTTGGACACAATTCTCCCAGTACCCAACCTGTCTGCCGGCGGGACATTGTTCTCAGCTCAGAACCAGGGCTGCCCTCACCAAACACAAGATGTTATAAAAGAGCTAAGATGGAGCATGGAATCTTCCAAACACCAGGATATCTGAAGACACTCAAACATTTACACCAGATGCCTCAAGGACTTTTCCCCCTGACTCACGAGACTCCAGAGAACTTGGACCACTGATGTTTAGTAAGATCTTCCCGTCTGATGTCCCTTGCCTTCTTTTAAGCCCTACAAAAAAGCCTGCTTCTCTGTTTCACACAGGCAGCCCTCTTGTCATCTGTCTGCCTGCAGCCAGACACAATAAATTCCATGCCATGTTGCCTTTACACAAGCCTGGTGGTCTCGACTTGTCTCTGCCTCATGCCTTTCCTTACAAATAGGAGCCATTCTTGGCATATAGGGAGAGCATATATATCTGCTGTATATATGATAGCCAACCCATAAGATGGCTCACAATGATTGGTGATTATATTTCTTGGTGATTATATTGGTGATTATATTTCTTCTTCATTGGTGATTATATTTCTTCTTCACTTTGGTCACTCACTCTGACAGAAGTTATTGTCATAAGCAGTCCTACTGAATGGTGAAGAATTAAAGCCTCTTGCAATACCCATGTGAATGAGTTTAGTGGCAGATTATCCATCTCAAAAGTTTCAGAAGACTAATAATCCAGCTGATAGCATGCCTGCAATCTCCTGAGAGATTCTAAACTGGAATCGGCTAAGGAACTCCTAAATTACTGACCCTTGGGATCGTCGACTCACTCGCCCCTAGCTAAGATACATTTTTCCTATTTTTATTTTTCAAGGGTATTCAGTTCTATAGCTAGAGAGTGCTGCAGACCCATCCTACTACACTTGTTCTACGAAGTATAACATACCCTAACCATTATCATCTTATTCTTCCTGAGAGTTGAATAGGTAACTAATGGACTTTATCTGAGAAGAGATGTGTTCAACTGAAGTATTCATGGGAAACACCACTCAGGCCATGGAAAACACTGAGAAGCAGGTACTATCCGGAAAACATACATTCCTAGGAAAGATCACTTGACTCCAGGATTTTAGAGGTTCAAGGTTGGCACTGGGACCAGAGAAGTTCTGGTGATGGCCTCTTTTGCTGATAAGGTCGTGAGGCAGCAGGTGGCATCACATACAAATGGACAAGGAACACAGGTGTCAATGTCTCCATATTTCTTAAAAATGCTTAACTGTTTGGAAAACATTTAAAACTTGTATTTTATTTCACTTTACTAAAATGATTTTATCAATTATTCCCTTATAAAACTGAACTGAAAAAGTTAATGCGCATAGGAAAAGTTATAAAAGGGAAGGTATTAATAAAAATTTCAAACACTTAAGATTTTTAAAATAATTCTATAATATAATTTTAAACAAACTGAATTTTCTCCATGGTAAGTAGAATTCTGTCTTCCAAGCTCCAATGACTCATGTCTCTCCCAAACACAAAATATGTTCACTATCTCCTAAGAGTCTCATTTCATTATAGCCCTAAATCCAGTATCTCATCAGCTAACTGTATTTCACCAAGTATGTCCATGTCTAACTCTGTAAAGTCTAGAATCTTACCTACTTTTTCTCAACCCAAAGTCTAAAATCCGTATCTAGTCACACAAAGGACTCTTTCAAGAGGTTAGGGTGTGTTTCACATCTTTCACATCCAGATGGCCTGTAGGAAGCCACCTCATTCCTTAGCCACCTCAGAAGGAGGACAACATAATCTCAGAAAGATGAGCTGTAGCTAAATGGAGTAAATCCAGGAGCTAATAGGAACTTACACATAATCCAATTAAGCGTAGCAATAAGTGAACAATTTCTTTCTGTAGAACTGTGAAACTAAGATGAATTACCTGTCCCCACCAGTCCCAACATACAATGGTGGAACACATATAGGGTAATATTTACAAATATTCCAGTTCCAATGGGGAAAACATAACAATAAGGAACTACAATTAGTCCAAAGCAATTCTATAATCTAACTAGACACAAGTTTCTTGATTAAGCTTCCAAGCCTAGGAAGAATTAATTCTCTGCACTTCTCAGCTCTACCCTTTAAATCACCCTTCCTTTTTTAAAAAAACAAAGGGGATCTGAGGTAGTAGTTTCATCAAACTGCTTCAAGTAGAATTTTGGGAATCCCAGAGTCTCTACTTTGCAGTCCACGCTGTCTGTATTTCTGCTAAAATAATTTCCTAAAGAACTTTGAAGACCTTCTGTGGATTTCATGAGGATTTACTCCATTCAGCTAAAGCACACATCTTTCTGAGATTATGTTGTCCTCCTTCTGAGGTGGCTAAGGAATGAGGTGGCTTCCTACAGGCCATCTGGATGTGAAACATGTGAAACACACCCTAACCCCTTGAGAGTCCTTTGTGTGACTAGACACTACCGATCTTTTGATCTTTCTTAACTGGAAAACTGTCTTGCCTTAGTTTGGTGAGTGGCTTGATAGCAAATTAGGAATTTTTTTTGAAAAAGAGGACAGGAGAACTCAACTGAGGAATCACTTTTAACTGTGTCAAGTGGGTGTGTCCAAGAAATCAGTAAAGACTGTTTCTGGGTTGTCAATGAGGATGCATAATCTTAAAAATAAAAATAATTTAAAAATAAAAAAAAATTTAGCAAAAGATCACACAATCTTCTCTCAGCTACACTTCTGGCACCCATTTTTGATTTTTAGCAGCTTCTACCATTTGGAATGGCTAAGAATAATCAAAATCATCAAATGTTAGTGAGGTAGGATGAAAGACAGAACTAAGTAGAAAGAGACAAAGAAACCAAAATTTGAGAATCATACTTAAAAAAACCCTGCAGCTTCAGAACACAAGCCTGATTTACTTACTTTTTTCCTTCTCTCAAAACAATAAACCTAGATAACTCTCTTTCAACTACAAACATGTAGGCCCATTCACTTTTTACTTACAAATCATCTCCTTTCACACATAAATGGACCACCCTTTTCAGATGTCCCACATTAATAGACCATTATCTCACTACGGGTGGGCCATCCTCTCCCATCTATATTATAAAATTCCACAGATTTCCACGACCCAAAACACATCAAAAATCCCGTTCCCAACTACCTCATTTCTTTGAGCACCCACACTCCACTTGAGTGCATCCTATATCTACCTCTAGCAAATCTGTCTACATGTATCTTTTTTTTTTTTTTCCCGGTACCGGGAATCAAACTCACAACCTCTTGCTTGCCAGGCAGGCGCTGTGCCGCTGAGTTAAATCCCCAGCCCCTATGTATCTTTTATTGACCTGTCCTAAAAACTGTTTTTCTGTGGAGTCAGCAAACATACAAACTTATTGGAAAAGGTTAAGGTATTTATTTTAGCCTCAGGAACCCTAAGACCCTGCCCTGTGACATTACTTCTGTTTAACTGTTCTTCCCACAATTTTTCTCTCCTCTAGCATTTTATTATCAACAGCAAGAAACTATGCAATTTGGCAAGCTCTTTAGCTATAAATACATGAAATTTGTCACAAGTTCCTCTTTCTTTATAACTACAAGATAAATTTCCAAACTGTTTTGATACTGTGTATCATGTCCTTCCTTCTCCAAGTTTCCAATGACGTGTCCTTTTTATCTTCCTTCTGAGCCCTCAGTGGCAGCACTGTCAATGATTACTACCAAAAGTGTATTCAACATCACTTAGGGTTATTCCACCCTGTTATTAAACTGCCTCCGATTTCTGCCCACCTCTGCCTATTGCCCAATTCTAACAGTGCTCCCACATTTAATTAATTATTGCAATGTAAGTATGTAAAATCTATACATGTTAGTTTTTTATTGCTATGCAACAAATTTCCTCAAACTTACTTATTTAAAACAACACAAATGTATTAATTCCTAGTTTTATGGGTCAGGAATCCTGCTGAAATCATGGGCAGACCAGTAATAATCTGCAATGGAGCCTTGACTTAGGGCAAGATTTGCTTTTGACTTTGATGTTGTTGGTAACACTAGCATTCCAATTGTTTGCTATCAGCCAGGGACTACTTTCTATTCCTACTGGCTGCACACACGTTCTTCCAGGAGGCCCACCACAGTTTACTACTCCTTCAAGGCCAGCAAATCCTCTTTGATGCTTCATCATCTTTCAATCATCTCTCCAATATATCACCCAGAATACTCTCCCAGCCAGTATTACAAAGGCAAGTGATTAGCAACTGAAACATATCTACTAGTACAGTCCACAGTCAAGGACAGAAGACTATATAGAGCCTATATGGCAGAGGGAGATAGAAATCTTAGGAAACATTCTGGAATTCTACTTACCTACACTAAGGAAAAAAAATCAATCAGAAAAAAAACTGTAAACCTATTCCCCAAAGAAACTGCACAAAAATAAATGAGCAATACCAACTCATGAATGACTTGAAATTCAGTGTATTATTTCTTTTTTGTTGTTGTTGTTGTTACCGGGAATCAAACTCACGACCTCACGCTTGCCAGGCAGGCACTTGTGTCACT